CAAACTGGTGCTCGTACCCGTCCGCCGTCAGCCCCGGCCCCGTCGCCATCACCCCCGCGTTGGCCACCAGCACGTCCAGCCGCCCCGAGCCAAACGCCGCCGCCGCCTGTCGCACGCTCGCCAGCGAGCCCAGGTCGCACGGGATAAACGTCGCCCTGACCCCCGCCGGCAGCGAGGCGAGCAGCGCGTCGGCCGCTGACTGCGAACGCCCGGTGAAGTAAATGTGCCCCGGGTTGTGCTTGGCGAGCTCTTGCACGGTGCTCTTGCCGATGCCGTTGGTTCCTAGTGGAGAAGGGGGGTTTTTTGTGTTAGGGAGCTGGTGCTTTCGTTTGAGAAAAGAAGGAACTTTGGTTTGGGGTTTTCAAGTACCTCCGGTAATCAGAAAGACTTTGCCTGCAAGGTCGGGCACATCGGTGTCGGGGTTGTAGCCGTTGACGCTACACATTGGGTTGGAGTGGTTGCAGATGGGCTTTAGATGTATGATTTGTAGTTACGCGTCTTGGTGCAAAAGGTGCAATGAAAGCAGTTTGTCGAGTTGTTCTGCCCAGATGTGTAAAGTGCTAGAGGACTGCTGATATATACCAAGGCGTTTGGAAGGGCGGTTTCGAAGACACTGTGTTGTCCACGGTGGCTCTCGATTAACATCAACAGAGATGCAGCACAAGCACAAGCACGTCGTCTTTATACTCCGCTTCTTCGTACAAGAAACTATGAAGATATCAGAATGTTGTCCCGACAGCTGGCACCCAAAAAAAAGAACCGGTGGCGGGAAATAGCCAGCCCCGATCCGAACCATGCCAGCTTCGCCCGTTTCCGTGCCCGCGCTATTCGCTACCCATTGGGAACGAAGCGAGAAGCCTTGCCGCCCCCCCCCTCCCCTCCCCGCGGTGTAAGTGAGCACAAACGTCCGGAGGCGTCGTCTCACGGGGACCGGCGTAAGCAACCAACTACGTCCGCGCATTACCGCACTAGCCATCACTAACACTTTTGCGCTTGTGCATCTGCGCATCTCTGTTAGTGCACAATACAGCTATATCCCGCCAGGATAATCCTAGTCTGAAATCCGCTGGGCTTTTTGATCATTTTAGTAAGATGGCTTTGCTGAGCCCGTCGTTTACTTTACTTTCCCTTGGTGGTTTTCTTTCTAATGGACCCCCGCTTCGCTGACTCTGAGCCGATGCAGAAGCTCCTCCCGCCTTGTTTGCAGGACTTGGCTGCCGAGTCGGCCACTGGGACAACCTGGACTAGACCACGGGCACGTTCCAGGTCCGATGTTGCATCTCCGGCGGCCCGGGATGACTGCTAAATCGGACCTACCAAACTGTATATTTTTCAACACTCTTATTTTTAGTGACCATCACGGCCTACATAGTCTCAGCCATACCCCACGCTTTGTAGAGGAGTTCTAAGCGATGCTCACACTATAGGCCAAGACTTGGGCCACGATGCGCAGACGCGCAGGTGTTCGACTTGGATGCAAAGTACGCACGTACGTTGTCCTTAAATAAAGTATTTTTTAACAAAAATTTACCTGCGGCTGAAAGGCACTGGCGTCTTCCCAGCTACCTTCCCAATAGGAACGAAGCGGGGGTCCGCGCATTCAGCCGTCGTCGTGCCTTTCCTTACCTTGCACGCCGTAACTACTCAATCACTTACAAAAAAAAAACTCTCCGTAACTTCCATTTCCGTAGTTCCCAGTATGGACTACTTTGAATCCGCCCAGTTTGACAGCGATGCCAAAAATCTCATGGACCGACTTCACGTGCCCGGCCTGTCCGTCGCCGTCGTCCACGGCAACAAGACGGCATCCAAATCGTACGGCATAATCTCCGTCGCTTCGTCCAAGCCCTGCACCGGCACCTCGCTCTTTGACATTGCCTCGTCCTCCAAGATCCTGACGGCCCTCTCCATCGGCCTGCTCGTCGAGGACCGCAGCCACCCCGGCGTCACCTTTGACACGCCCGTCGCCGACATCCTGCCCGACGACTTTGTTCTGTCCGAGCCCGCGTATACCAAGCAAGTCACCATCGATGACATGCTCGGCCACAGGACCGGTCTGCCCAGGTATGATATCCAGTCGCCGTTTTCCCCTGTTTCGTTTGCAAAGGCCAACGGCAATCAGCCATGATCACTCCTACTTCGGCGTCAACGCCGAGCAGCCAGACGACGCCCTCTCCGTCACGCGTAATTTGCGTCATCTCCAGCTCTGCGCGCCCATCCGCAGTCGGTATATTTACAACAACATCATGTACACCGTCGCCACGCACCTCGTCGAAAAGGAAACCGGCCTGTCCTTTTCCGATTTCCTCGACGTGCACATCTTTGCGCCCCTCGGCATGTCCGCCTCCAGCCTCCAGCCCTCCCGGAGCCGCCGGCGTGGCTTAGGAGCGCACATCTCGTCCGGCCACATGTGGGACGCCTCCAAGCACCGGTACCACGTGTTCCCGGCCCTCGAGTGTCCCGAGGGCCAAGGCGCGGGATCCATCATCACCAGCGCCACGGACTACCTCCAGCTCGTCCAAGCGCTGCTGCGCCAGCAAGCACCCATATCAGAGGCCGTGTACGCCGGGCTGACCAAAATCCGCTCTCTGCCTAACCCGGGTTCCGTTAACACTCAGCCGCTGTCATCGCCGCGGTTCTACTGCGCCGGCCTCATGACCGAGTACTACCGCGGCCACGCCATCATCGGTCACAATGGCGGCGTGCCCGGCTTTGGCAGCCGCTTCTTCTTCGTGCCGAGCCTGCAACTAGGCGCAGTGCTGCTTGGCAACGCCATCGAGGCTGCCACCGTCGCCGTCCACCTGCAAAAGGGTCTCATTGATAGCATCCTGGGACTGGTGGACGGTCAGGAAGCACTCAAGGACGCGGAAACAGTCAGTCGAGATCCCGAATCATCAGATTCCGAGCCAGGAGAGGCAGCCCCGCAAAAGATGCCGTTGACAGCCTACACCGGCCACTATTGGAACCCGGGATACCGTGGCTTCCACATCCAAATACGGGATGAACAACTCTTCATCGATGCACGCGACCGGTCGTTTGCGTCGACTTTGACGCTCCGCCATGTCTCCGAGCAGACCAATTTCCTCGCCTACGCGCAGGCGGCAGACAACATGGGCGGCATGCCTGTGCTTGATGAGCCATTGCGGGCCGAGTTTGTCTTTGACAATGACAAGGCTGTCAAGTTCGGATTGCTTTTAGATCCAGACTTAGATCTCATTTGGTTCGACAGGATCCATGCGGAAGCCACACCGTATGTTTTTGTGTAGGCATTTCTGTCGTGTCAACTATGCAACAGTGTCAGTCGCGAACAAGAGGCACATGGTCAGATAAGGGTTCAAAGTAGCTCAAGAAGAATACACGTTCTGGGAGCAAATCATGCCCAAACCCCGTTGATAGGTACAAATATAAATAGCCAGAATACCCCGCAACGTCAGCGCACTCCTAAACACCAGATAATGCCGTTGCGCCTAGAAAATCAGGCCAGACCAAGTCAACTCAGAAAACACGAAACGGGCCAAAACAGATCAGTATCAGAAATTCAGCATCAAAACTCGCTTGACGAAAGCTTCCACATATTTCAGTCTCCCGCGGCTTCCAATTCGGCCAGCAAGTCTCTCTCTAGATCCCCTTCGTCAAATTCGAGCTCTTCCTCTGCTTTTGTATCCGCCTGGCCATTCTGCCTCCTCAATGCAAGTCCATTCTCGCCTCCACCAGAACCGTCCAAGTTGTCGCCGGACGACTGCACAGATCGAAGAGCTGATGTGCCACGACTGCGCGACAAGCGCTGCTTCTTGGCCAGCGAGCTCTCGTCTGCAACGTTCCCGTCCGTATCTGAGTCACCTTCCTCGATGTTGGCCTCGCCAGCTTTACGCTTGAGTCCCTTGTTTTGTGGGCTTTCAGAGGCGTCACTCTCATTCTCGCTCTCATTCTCGCTCTCATTCTCAGTAATCAAGCCGCTCTCAAACGAATCGTTGCCGTAGTTGTCATCGTCTTCAGAGTCACCCTCCTCATCATCGTCCAAGAAGTCTTGCAAATCCTTGTCCGCCGTATCCCAATCGAAGTCTTTGAGGTCCTTGGCTTCCGCGTCTGCATCTTCAGCCTCGGAAGCAGACTCGGTTATGTCGTCCGATTTTGCACGGTCGGCGTCCAAGATGGGGAGCAAGTAAGGCCTTTCGTCTAGGCGTCGCCATTGACTAAGACAGTCCGTGAGCCAATTTTGGTTTACAATCTTGATGCTGGATATTTTCGCGGCCTGCTGGACTTTGTTTGTGCGTGGTGTCGATGTAGACACGACAAGATGCGTGACGCGCTTCGACACCACATTCAGTACCTGAGCGCCAAAGCTAAGAGCCTGGTTTCCTATGTCAGACTCTTCAATCGGGACACCAAGTGGTACAAGTCCAGACAATACAATAACCAGGCCAGAAAGGACATTGGACTTGAGCTCGCCCAAAACATCGCCCACGTCGGGCGCCATCGATAGATCCACACCATCATCCACAGAGGGCCTACGATGGGCGCTGCTGTGGCTAGGCGGGTGGGTGGGCTGAGACCGTTGGCGCTCGGCTCTTTTCCGGGCATATATCTCGTAATAGGATGTGTGAATGTCTGTGAGGTGGTCTTGGAGAGCTACCAGCTCTTCATCGTCGTCAATAAGGACGTTGTGTCGCCTGGGTGGCGCGCGTGCTTCCCCACTATCTGCTTCCTGCGCAGTCTTCTCATCTTCCTTGTCGAGTTCTTCCTGCATGTGAAGCAATGGCCTATCCTTAAGCTGTTTTTCCAGAGTCTTCTCTTGCTCGGCCGTCTGATCCTCGAGACTGGAATCCTTGTTCGAGCTGGCGTCGTCTGTCGGCGATTTCTCCTTGTCCGAACCGTGAGCTAATTTGATTGCGACGCCATTCGCCTTGGCTGGAGCGGGCGCAAGTTCTTGGCGCTTGGGCAGAAAGCTGCCGTTGATATCGCCAATACCTTTGAAGAAGTCATAAGCCGCGACCTTGATAAGATTTGCCTTATTCATGGGCCAGACATCAGCTCGATCATCGATGATAACGACCATGTCTGTGCTGACGGGAAACAGGCGGGCCAGGCTCTTGGCTGTGATGCTGCCGTTTTCGTCACGGCTAATTACACGATTGCCGAATAACTTTCGATCGGGATCGACGATTTTGGCAATATTGAGAGCGTATGCACGAGTACCCATTGTGTAAACATGGAGCTCGTACATTTTGGAGACTTCTTCTAAAAAGTCTCTCAGGCCGGGCCGTAGTTTGATGTAGTATGTGCAGCCTGAAGCCAGGCCACGAGGGCCGTCATCCTTGAGCTGAAAGCTTCTGACATCCTTGACAGCACTGTGGTTGGGGTTTGATGGGTCTCGCTGCCATTCGCCGACGGTTGGTTCGATGCACGCGTGAATAATGGTCTGGTCCAAATCAACAACGAGACTGAGCTTGCGCTGTCGGAGTAGTCGCTTCTGCGTGTCGTGTTCGACTCTTTGCGCGACATTCTCGCTGACCAGGAGGCCTGTCTGGTCGTGGGTCATATTGATCATGGCGCGCTCAGAATCACGCTGTTCTGACGCCCAGTTCGTCTCCGTCATGTCAGCGCCACACAGACTGCACATTCCTTGTATTTGCACCTCGTGGCTGCAGGCCTCTTCAACCGTCATGCAAGGCATGTCGGCAGCAATGAAATCGCCTTCCTTGATACGCCATTCTTTGAGCTTGCCTTCGGCAGGGCTGTCAAACTCGGTGTAGGTAGTCTCGTCGACCCAAGTATCGTCGCTGACTTTGCGCCGCCACGAGAATTTGTATTCGATAATGTTTTCCTGTTTCTTGATCGTGTCGCCAGGAGATTTGATGAGTTTTGTGATTGTTATTGGGTAGTGCAGGCGCGAGCCTAGTGATACCACCTTGTCGAACATTGTGTTGGATGAGGACGCTGTCCGGAGGCGCCCGATTGCGTAATGGTGACGGCCAGGAGATTCTGTGGTCGCGAGTTAGCCTAAATGGTGTCCTTTGCGACGAATTCGAAATGTGCCACGGCGTACACGATGGAGGGTGAAGGTCGGTTGTTTATTCCCGTCTTCTTGTTGGCTTCTCGTTTGCGCGCACTGATAGCTGTCGGATGCTGCCCATGGCCCTTGTCGGGCGCCGGGAGGGAGATGATGAAGCAGCAATAGGATGCGAATGTCCGCGCTCAATAGCTGCGAATTGAAGACGTGAGGAACCCGATTCACGCAGCGACGTTTCTGGATGCGACGTGCGCGGCAGGCCAATGCCGGGCTGTTTGTAGTGGTGAGTTGGAGCTGGGGAGGCGCTGGTGGAGCTAGCTATCGGAGCTCGAGCAGCGGCAGGCGAATGGGGTCGAGAGCAATGGACAAACGCGAAACCTTGACCAGTGCTTTTTTTTTTTTGCTAAGACAAAGCTGCTTACCCGGAAGCGGCTGAGCTTGGGGCACTCGGACGAGCCAGGAGGTGGGCGGGCAGACGTCCACTTTAGTAGTCGCGGTGTTGTGGGTTTCGCCTCTCCGTGTGGATTGGTGATGGACAGCGGAGGGGCGGAGCTCACAAGCCAATCGTATCAAGGTCCATTTATTGGTGAAGCTCGGTGGCAGCCTTGCTCATCGACTCGTGCAGCTTGTGAGTGAGTCGTCTCCTGTGGCGGTGTTCCGGGAGGGGAGGGGGCTAGTGGCTGGTGGTTGCCTGTCTCCTGTGGATATTCCACGTGACGCCAGAAGCAACAACTCGCGAGCGGTGCAGAAGTGCTTGTCTGTCCGTGTTTTATTATATTTTTTCGAATATATCATGTCAAGGAGCCGCAATGGTTGATTTCTTCCCAAGCTTATCAAGCTTCAGCACAGTCGGGCTATTACTGACTCAGTAAATGAATGGTAGCAATTAGAGAGCATGTCATGATACAGCCCCAAGGCCTAGCCTGATTGAGGTACGTACCACTCTAATGCCTCAACTCTCAACTACACCTACCCTGTAACTGAGACTTGTCTTGATCGGCAGGCCATGCGACAAGGCCGAGTTCTAAAGATCCTGCGGTGTATGCATATAATTTTGCCGCTGAATTTATGCCCTCTGTGTAGCATGACTTTGTTGTGCCATGATGCGCAAGTCGCGTAACCAACCACCTACCTGTAGGTAGCCTTTCAACGTCCGTCACACCAAAAAAGCTGCAACAAGTCAACGTATCTTGTCCCATTAAATCATCCATCGTTCAAATTTAAAACAAGCCTCTCATCAAGTACGTATATACAAAATACTCCCTCCATTGCTTAAGCAGCAGCCTGCACCAGCTTAAAGCCTTCTGAGACCTGCTTCGCAATGTCCTCATTCTTGTGCGGCAGCAGGCCCAAGGCAAAAGCCACGTCGCTCCACTGCCGCTCGTTATCGCAGCGCGCAAGTCGCGCCGCCAGCTTCTCAGCCAACTGCTTCGCATGCTTGTCCTATCATCGCTGTTAGCACCTGCAAAAGTTGCCTTTATCCACTCATAAATACACACCTTTTCAACAAATCCAAGGAGAAACTTGACGATTCGCTTAAAGCTCTCTTCGTCCATGCTGCCAGCACTCAGCAGACTAAACATGTCTACAAAGTGGTTGTATACGGCATTGTCCTTGGTGCTGAGCTCGGTGAAGAACATCCTCGCCAGATCCGCAGTTCGCCGGTCCTCGTCTTCCAGGCACTTGGCCATTTCACCGAGTTGGCCCTTGACCTTGACCTGACCAGCCAGGATGAGAAACGTCAGGGTCATGAGGCAAGTTCGCTTGACCGACACATCATCATCCGCAAGCCGACGGTAGAGGAAGTCGGTGTTCTCGTCAATGAGGTGATTGAAGCACACGGCCATGTCGCCAAGCGCAATGACTGCATTGGAGCGTACAGTGGCATCTGGTGACCGCTCCATAATGGTGATCAACAGAGGCAGATTTGTTTCGCAGTATTCCGACGAAACGCACATCAGCTTGGCCAAACACAGCGTGGCCGCAGCCTGGAGACCCTTGTCGGCATAGGTGGTGTTGTTGGCGCAGACCTCCGACACAAGTGGTCCAAAGTTTGCTAAGAGTGAGCTCGGTCCATACAAGAGCTCGCGCTCTCGAATGTGCGTCATAGCTTCCGTGAAGTCGTCCTCTGTAGTCCCGCCAATAAGATCGAGCTCGTCGCCTTCTTCCTTTTCCTTCTCCTTCTCAGCTTGTGTCTGCTTCTCTTTTTCTTGCTTTCTACGCTTGAAGTCGAGCTCACAGAGTTCAAGGTGCACAATCTGCTTGATAGCAACGTGTCCCACAATGAAAAGTAGCTGGGACAGAGCAACGGCATTGTCGCGCTTGCGGGCCTTCTCAATCGTCGTCATGTCAATCGCCTGAGTCTCATCGCGCGAGGCAGGGCGAGACTGGGGGTTGCTAAAGACGTATCTCGTCTTGCGGCGCAGAATTTCAGAGCAGAGCGTGTCTGGGTGCTTGGAGACGGCATAGATAGCGTTGATGGCTTGCTCTGCCACACCATACCACTCCTTGCTCTCAGACTGCACCTCGGTAATGGCAGCCAACCGGACACAGACAGCGTGGTCATTTGGCAGTCGCGAGAATTTGACACTCGAGTCCTTCGCATTGCGGCCGAGAGGATTGATTCGTCTGAGGGCGATACATGTGTACTTGGCTAATTGAAGGTCATTGCGGCCGTGAGATCCAAGACCAGTTCTGAGCATAGTCTCAATCTCGCCGACCACAATCTCCGGGTTGGCAGTTGCCAGCATTCCCAGGACAATGATAGCGCCGCGACGTTGGGTCTTGGAAATCTCGCGCTTTTGAACACCGTAGACTTGCCAAAGCTTAGAAACAACAACGTCGGGGATAATACCCCCCTTCATCATCGTGGCCAGAAGCTGCTCCAGCGATGTTAGCTCGGCAGATGTTGCACCAAATGTCAGACTAATCATGTTGCGGGCAATGTAGTTGGCGGCATCGTTTGGGCTGAACGAGTCAGGAGCCTCAAAGAAAAGACGCCTGTAACACTCGATCAAATGAGTCTGAACACCCTTGCCTTCGTCGCTGTTGCCCTTCGTCCAGATGAGTCTCAGCATGCGTCGAATACCGAGCTTGTTTTGCTCGATATTGTAAGCATCGCCGACTTCGAAATAGTCAATGGCTTCGATGACTTCGCTCTTGTTGCGCGAGCCAAGAAGCTGGCAGATGATACCAGTGGCATGATGAAGGACATCAATGAACTTGAGAGCCTCGTTGTAATATCTTTTGGTCAGAGTGAACTTCTCGATAGCCTCGCCAGAGGCGGCTTGCTCTTGAGCCTTTTTAATCGCGGCAGCCTTGTCCTCATCCGTCATTTCGGACGGTTTCTTGGGCGATTCGAGTTGAGTCTGCTCATCAAGAAGTTCGTTGTCGATACTCCCCTCAACATTTCCACCCCCGAAGCCCGGAACTCCTGGCGGCGGCTGTAGGGCATTGAGTTCCTCTTCGACTTTGTCATGACGACTTTGCCACTCTTTGCGCGATAGTTGAGCACCATGCATGACCGTAAAAGGATGTGTTTTGATCAAGGTGCCTAGCAATTTGATGGCATTTCTGCGCACATTACTGCTCTTGTCCTCCAAGCTACGGCAGGCAAGCTCAGCAGCCTTCTGCCGTCTCTTCGGAAACTTTTGTTCAAGCTCACAGAGCTTCATGTACACTTGCAGGGCACGGCATCGACAGTAAGGGTTAATATCGAGGAATCGCTCTTCCAGCACATCGAAGAATGCATTGAGTTGCGTCTTATGATTTTCGCCGCGCTCGTCCTGTATGCTTAAATGTGCAATCATGTTGCCACACACCTCAATCAGGGCGCAGCGAAGCGTGTATGACTTTGTCGGTTAGCATATCGACCAAGATAACTACTTTCCAAAATTACTTACCTCGCTATCGAGTTGCTTCGCAAGCATAGTCATTTGCTTTATGACGATTCTGGGGGCCAGCTCTGAAATCTTGGCGATAAAGGTCGACACTGACTTGCGGCCTTTTGTATCGTTGGAATTGAATTCCTTGTTGCTCAGCTCCCTCAAAACTTCATCAGCGAGCTGCGGGTAGTCGTATGTATCAGCCAGAATGTGGAGGAATTCTGCCATGGGCTCGGAAAGGTGCTCAAAGTAAGTAAGATTCTGAATGACATTGATTTGTGCCGCTATTTTGGTCAGTATTTCAGAAGGTCAGTAGACTATGGGGGAGCTCACCATAGCCATGGCCGTGGTTTTTGACAGCCATGCAAAGAACCTTGAAGCTGTGCATGCGAATGGAAGTCGTCTTGACTCTTTGCTCGCTCTCGAGAACCATATACACGGGGCGGGTGAGAAGGCTGATGAAGGTGTCGCGCTCGCTGGTGGTGAGAAAGATTTTGGAGAGCTTTAGCTTCAGGACCTTGCACATTATATCCAAGGCTGCCTGCAGCTGTGTTGCGGAATCCCAAGTCTCCTCTTTGGCCGCGCCCTTTTTGGGCTTTGCGCGGCCTCGTGCCAGCGGCGCAGCAGAGGACTTCTCTGCCGCCTTGGCCTCCACCCCGGCAATGGTCCATTGCAGCAAGAAGGCATATATTTCGAGTAGTTGCTTGTGATGCGCAATGGAGTCTTGTTCGTCGGCAGACTCGACGTCATTATTCACCGTGTCGGCTTCCGCACTTAGACCACTCATGACGACATCAAATATTTTGCTGAGGGCATGTGGGGAGATGTACTGTGTATATCTAGAAAGCTCACAAGTTAGTCTTTGTGGAATCCTGAGGCCCTGGAAGCGAGTGAAAGGCACCGACTTTAACAGGAACTGCAGCGAATCAATGGTTGTTGCCCGCATAATCGCGTCAGGGTTATCCGCAATTGCATCCACGATCGGATTCAGCACCGGGTTGATGACCTGGACTGTGAGAGCCTCCGGGTCATTTTCGCAGTCAAAAAGTGAGCTGTCAGCCTCTGGCGTGGGAATAGCCGTGGGATCCGACATGTAATGCTTGAGCGCATCGTTGATGTCGAAGTCGATAGTCGCCATGTTGATGTCTGTCACTGCGCGCCGGGGCGAGTGCGATGTCGTCGGTCGGGCTCTCGCGGGCAGAAATACCACGAAGAAAATAACAGTTTTCCTGCCTTGTTAGTGAGTCGTCGGGGCCGCCCTGGCGTTAATGAAGAAGCTGATCCGTGTTGCGCAGGATTGTTGAACGGTGATGATTGTGTGGAGGTCCCTGGCAACCGATGTTTTTGTTTTGTTTGGACGCGCTGCCCACCTGAAATTGGTGGGGTGTCATCGACCCCGGCGCGTCAACCACCAACCGCTAGGGAGGACAACTGCAGGCACTACATCCAGATTAGTACAACGGCTCGGCATCTGGGCGTTGACTGACGATAGGAACTTGGATTCGGGTCAATTGTGTACCGAATTCACACGCGTCATTCAATTCGAGAAACCCGAACCACCGGGAACTCGCCGCAATTCGCCAACATGACCACAGCGATGCAACAACCACGTGAGCCTTTTGACATCCACGAGGATGCTGGCACTGAGGAGACCGAAATGATGCTCGACGATGATCCCGTACACGATCTAGACCCGGCGACACTCGACCCAGCGGAACCTATGGAAGGGGAGGAAGAGGAAGGAGAATATGAGGCGAGTTCAGCAGAGGAAAATATCGAGGACAGTGTCCAGGCCGACATGGACAGGTTGCGAGAAGACTTTCCCGTAATTCATGATAAATACAGACTGATCAAGCGCATTGGAGAGGGTATGCATATTAGCAGGGATCCAATTGCGATGGCACACAGCTAATGACAAGGCAAGGCACATTTTCTACTGTCTTCAAGGCGGAGGACATTTGTTACGACCACTACAACAACGATTGGGATTTTGAAGACGAGAGCGCAAAGTGGACGCCGCCGCCTTTAAAACGTGATTCAAGCCAAACCTCTCAACGTACCAAGAAGAAGTCGAGATATGTCGCCATCAAAAAGATTTATGTCACATCAAGCCCAGCCCGCATCTTGAACGAACTCGAGCTCCTGCACGACCTGCGACAGTGTCCGTCCGTCTGTCCTCTCATCACAGCCTTCCGCCAAACCGACCAGGTAGTAGCGATTCTGCCCTACTTTCGCCATGGCGACTTTCGCGCCTATTTTCGGGACATGACTACTACGGACATCGCCATCTATCTGCGCTCCCTCTTCACCGCTCTGAAGAGTGTCCACGAACACAAGATTCTGCACCGAGATATCAAGCCCACAAATTTCCTCTATGATCCGGTAACACAACACGGCGTATTGGTCGATTTCGGATTGGCAGAGCGAGAGGGATCGGACAGCAAGCCCTGCCTCTGCCACGAAACACGCGAAGCGCGCAAGCACCGCCAAGCCAACTCGGTGTGGGCGCAGACTGCGACGACGGCACAACCTGGGTACCCCAAATCAGATACGCGCCCGTCACGGCGAGCCAACCGTGCAGGCACTAGAGGCTTCCGCGCTCCCGAGGTGCTATTTAAGTGCAGTGAACAAACCACGTCGATTGATATCTGGTCAGCGGGCGTGATCCTGCTTACCATCTTGTCAAAGCGATTCCCCTTTTTCAACTCTGCTGATGATGTCGAGGCCATGATTGAAATCGCCACCATCTTCGGGTACAAGCGGATGAAGGCCGCCGGCCTTCTGCATGGCTGTGTCTTTGAGACCACCATTCCAACCGTGGGACAACAGGGCTTCACAATGGAAAAGATTATCCTGTGGAGTACTTGTCGAACAGACGGTAAGCCTCTAACTGATGAAGAAAGGCTGGCTGTGCGCTTCCTGGAGAGGTGTATGGAGCTTGATCCGAATCGCCGCATGACGGCTGAAGAAGCTTTGGACCATGAACTTTTACGAATTGACCAGCCGCCAGAGGATGACTTGGTCGGCGATGACGAAATGGACATGCTAGAGGCATAAACATGAAATAACACTACCTAGACACATTACATACTAATGATATGCGCATATATGGGTAACGCGGGTTCTCGTTTGGGAGAGGATTACTTAAGGAGTCGGCGTCTAATGGTGCAATTTAAGTCCATAATACAAACGCTTATACATGACACCCTTTCAAAATGACATCACCACCAGATGGGAGCTGTGATTTGACTATTTTGGCGAAATTTTGTTTTTTTATTCGTTAAAACTCCTTTCCAGAGTCCCTGTATGCAATGCTCGAAGCCGACCAACCCGGGCCTGTTTTGCTCATAAACCCGTTTTTCACCGTGCAACATAAAAAATATACACAGCGGGGTCACTCAGGGCCTTTTTATCTTTTTCTCCGCCGTTTGGAATAAACCGGTTCAAAAAAATCCATATGCCAGACTCCCAAGCAAAGCTCCATTACGCGATAAGCTCGACAACGCCACCAGCCTCCGTAATCTTCTTCTCAGCCAGCTTGCTAACCCATCTCGCGCGGACGACCAGAGGGATCTCGGGGAGACGGCCCTTGCCGAGGACTTTGGAGTAGCCGAGGGGGAGGAGGTCGAGGACGGGGACGGTGTCCTTCTTGGCGCCGGAAATGTAGGCGTCGCGGGTCTCGATAGGGACGAGGGACCACAGCTGCAGGTATTGTTAGCATTCCGGAATCTTGGTAGTGGGACTCTTCGGAACGAAGGTCGCATCGCTGTCAAGTCGCGTCGTGTTGTCGAATTACGGCGTTATTGACATTGAAAGATCGTTGTCCAATCGAGCGGGATCTATCGTTCCAAAAGGCTGGGAGAGAATATGTACCTTGTCCAGGTTGATGACGGGCTTCCAGAAATGCGCCTGCTGCTTGTGGAAGTAGCGCATACCAACCTTACCGAAGTAACCGGGATGGTACTATTTTGACCTTGTTAGCATCGATATTCGGAAATCGTCGTAGTCGTATTCGAGAGGGTATGTCGAACCTTGTCCAAGTTGGTACGGTGGTGGTGCTGACCACCGGCCATACCACGACCACCGGGATGCTTGCGGTGCTTTCCTACACGACCGTGTCCGGCAGAGACGTGGCCGCGACTGTCAAGAGATTACATGTTAGCCCTAGATGTCGCTTTCGTCGAGATTTTCCCCCAGCGCCAAGTCTCCAACAGGTTGCGGCCAAACACAACAATTCCTCCATGCTGGATTTAACGCGCTTCGGTGGGATATGATGGAACGTACAGCTTGCGGGTCTTCGAAGTGCGGGTAGGCATGGCGACGGTATTTGCTGATGTCGCTTCGTTGAGTTGCGTCGATGACTGGAAGTGGGTGGTGATGTTTTTGCGGCTTGGGACACCACCTAGGCAGCCCACCCAAAATTGTTAGCGAGAGGGCAGCACAGCCCTAAACCAATTGGCGGCGACTCTGTGGAGTGAACCTGGGACTGCTTACATAAACCACATTGTGCCTCTTCACGTGATGCAACCGTCTCGAACGGGCAATCTAAAAGAGTGGAGCTGTCTATCCAATCAGAGTGAATTCAACTTTGTGTTCTCAAAAGCAGTGCTCTCAATTTGTTTGGCGCGTCGCGCGATGGGGCACTGAAGCTGTGGTGCATGACGATGGCGTTGGAACCGAAGACGCAGAGCATCGAGGATGGAATTGCGAGTATTGACTTTCATCATCCATTCACTCCGTACGATGTTCAAGAGAAATTTATGAGAACTGTCTATCAAGTACTAGAAACTGGCCAAGGACAAGTTGGAATTCTTGAAAGCCCGACAGGGACTGTGAGTACCATTTCATATGACTGATAGCATGACATCCGAAACGATGCGACCGTCTTGGTACAATTTTTGGCTCCGCTAGGATGATTAATTATAGGTAGAAAAGCTAACAACTCCCAAGGGAAAATCTCTTTCTCTGATCTGTGCTTCTCTCACATGGCTGCGGAATCACAAATCGTCTGCCTATCAAGCCGCACTAGAAGAGGCTAAATCATCATACAAAAATGAGCCAGATTGGATGGTGGACCAGCTTCTACGTCGAAAGCGAGAAGAACTGGTGCGATCTTGGCAAGACCGAGAAAAACGACTCGCAGACGCGAGGCTAAAAGAAAAAGCCCGCGAAGAGCGCGTGCGCAAAAAGCGCAAATTCGAAGCCGCTGTAGCTAGTCGCGAAGCGGGCGAGGAGGATGATGACGAACAATGGATGCTAGATGACTGGGATGGTGAGAGCGGACCAGTGTCTGCGCCGAACGATGCACTCTCGGGCCTGAGCAAAGAATCGCGCGATGTTCTCGAAAGGATGGGCCTCGGCGCACCGAAGCAGCAAAACGAAGACAGCGACGTGTTGGAAGAGGAGATCAAGGTGCGATGCTCCTCTCCCGTGACAAATGACATGAAGCATCCTAGTAACACTCTATCCGTAGATTTATTATACTTCCAGAACACATTCGCAGCTCTCGCAGTTCATTGCGGAACTGCGGCGACCGACATTCCCTGCGTCTCTACCACAAGACTTGTCCGGCAGTGGCGCAAAGACCCAAGATGAACTTGTCAAGCTTCTACCGTTATCGTCTCGGCAGAAGCTTTGCATCAACCCGAGTGTGTCACGCCTCAAGACCGTGCAAGCCATCAACGACCGGTGCGCGGAGCTACAGCAGCCAAAGTCGGGCCGCAAATGTGAATTTGTCCCCAGAGAGGAGCTGCTGGCACAGACACACGAGTTCAGGGACACGGCGCTCGCCACAGTCCCGGACATTGAAGACCTCTATCAGCTAGGCAAGGCTCTCCGCGTTTGCCCGTACTATGCTTCGCGAACGGCGTTGCCTGGCGCAGAGATTGTGACACTGCCCTATCCACTGCTGTTGCAGAAAAGTGCCCGAGATGCGCTAGGGATCAAACTCGAGGGCAACGTCGTCATTGTGGACGAAGCGCACAACATCATGGACGCGGTGTCGAATGTGTATGCGGCTGATTTGAAGCTGAGCGACCTTCGCAGATGCCGAGAAATGCTAGGTGTATATGTGCGAAAGTTTGGGAAAAAACTGAAAGGTGTCAATCGCGTCAACGTTGGTCGAGTCGGCCGTGTTGTGGAGGGCCTCAGCGAGTACATGAACACTAAGCTCAATGCCAAGGTTTGCAATATTTGAACATTATTGAACCAGCTAAGTGCTGACCTCAAGCAGCAGGACCACGGAATTGTTGACCCGAATGAGCTGACGAGGCCCAAAGGGATTGACCAAATCAATATGTTTGAGCTCATTCAATATATACACGAGTCAAAGCTCGCTTACAAAATCGAAGGCTATGCTACCCACGTTGACAGCAATCAACAAGATGGGAAGCCGCATGCTCCCAAATCAAGCACACCAGTGCTGCACACATTCGTGTCATTTCTGATTGCACTCACAAACTTGAGCTCAGAAGGTCGCATTTTTTATCAAAAGCTGCCCGGAGCCCAGTCAGACGTGCAGTTATCATACCTACTCCTGTCGCCCACCTACGCCTTCTCATCCATTGCCTCCAGCGCAAGAGCCGTTATTTTGGCCGGAGGTACAATGTCTCCCTTTGATGATTATAAGGATCACTTATTTCCCATGCTCGACGAGTCCAAAATCACAACTCTGAGCTGTGGACACGTTATCCCTTCCACCAATCTCTGCGTCCGCACGTTGGCTGCGTCGAGAGCAGGCGGGCCGCCGTTCGAGTTTAGCTACCAGCGACGTGGTGACCAAGAAATGATTGGGCAGCTTGGGCTGGCCATATTAAACATGTGTTCCGTTGTTCCAGATGGCGTTGTCATTTTCTTCCCAAGCTACGGCTACCTCGATGAAGTCGTGCAAGTTTGGAAGACGAAGCGAGCAGGAGATGCCCAGTCTACTTGGGAGCGACTCAAGTCCAAAAAGACGATTTTTCAAGAGACAAAGGGTGCATCCAGTGACGAAGTTCTCCAAAAATATTCAGAAGCCATATTCGGAGCACAGGCCGGCGGTGGTGCCCTGTTGCTCAGTGTCGTCGGGGGCAAGATGTCGGAAGGAATCAACTTTTCAGACCGGCTTGGACGATTGGTGGCTGTGGTTGGCCTTCCGTACCCCAACATTGCGTCACCTGATTGGAAGGCCAAGATGGAATACATTGAGTCGTCGACCAGAACTCGGCTGTTGGAGCGTGGCGGCATCCCCCCGGCGGAAGCCACCAGTCGCGCCAAGCAAACCGCCCGAGATTTCTACGAGAATTCGTGTATGCGGGCGGTGAACCAGAGTATTGGGCGCGCAATTCGTCACAAGGGTGATTATGCAGCGATTGTGCTGTTGGATAGGAGGTACACGAGCGAGCGGATTCGCAGCAAGCTGCCTGGCTGGATCCAAGGCGGACTTCAGGTGGATGTGCAGGAAAAAGGACTTGGAGGGGTAATGGGAGCCTTGGGATCCTTTTTCCGGGGAAAGAAGACGATGTAGCACCTCCGCTTCAACGGCTAATGGTACTGGTGCTGGTGTAACAATAGAGGTACCACCTGATCAGAGTCGTGCAGAGAATGGTCTCAGGAATCAGTCACATGGGCTGTATCATCCAAGTTGAATGTGCCAAGATGCAACCTGCAACAGCCACTGGCCCTATTACAGAGAAGGGGCATTTCCCGAAGTGATTGATGTGAGCCTGGAAATCCGGCTTTGACTTGGCGCCCAGGAGGATCTGGAGGCTACCGAGACGATGTCTAGGTTCATGTTGCACGAGATCTTTCGGCCAATCCCCGTGGTTATTACATTGCAACCCAACATCTTCGTAACGTCTGATATGTGACGAGATTGGGCAGCGAAATTGTCGTACAGCCCAGCCTTGTGTTACTCGTGCGTGAGAAGGCTGTTGCCAAGCAGTCTCATGACTTCTGTTCCTATGCAGCCCTCACGGACGGCATGGTAAAGCACTCGATCCTCTGCTTACCCAACCGCGCCACATCCTGCATCTGCTCTGTACTCCACGTCCAAGCTTGCAGCCAGGTCTTGGCAAAGACGCAGGTCTGGCTACGTTTGGACATAATTATGACCGTGATCTGTATGAGCAGGGCGCTGACGGTGCGGGGAACCAGCTTTGTCCTAGACGTATATCCGTACCCGCTTCGAAGAAAATAGATTCCAGGCTACGGCTTGCTCACAAATCTGATTTGCCGTTTAAACGATAGAGCCGTTCTTTTGCCTCTTCCGAAGCGGCTTCTTTCACATCCCTGGGCGGCAATGCACGCACTTGGGGACGAGGTCACCCACCAGTAGCGCATTGGTGATAACATTGCCCCGCGTAAATTTACGATGATGCTCAGGGAAGATTGGCCCATAGTCTAGTACCCTCCCCCCTGCTGTTTGCGGGGGTTGCAACCTCCGGGAGCAGGTGCATCCGTGGGCAGAAGCTTGGTAATTTCTTGTGGTCTGGTGAAGTTTGCGAGGGTTGCTTCGATGAAGCTGCTTTAAGTCACGTTTATCGGCAGTAAAAAAAATTGAAATAAAAAGCATAAAAAGACAGGACATACAAAGGTAGAGACAAGAGACGGAGTAGAGGAAGAGTTTACTGATACAGAGCGTTGAACTGGTACTTTGCTTAACTAACTTTGTTGCAATAATAGGTACTAAGTAAACGAGCAATGCAAAGTGACGAGCGAATACGGATAGCTCATTAACAGACTTGTTATCAACAGGCATTCTCACGTCACACTCGGGACCTCGGTCTTAGTGACCCTCCACCAGGTCGTGCACCAACAAAATGCAGTCAATCATTGAGACATGGGTTGAAAGGATGATGACTGATGATGACTAGCGACCTAACTGTTCATCCATGATCAACAAATGGCCGTTTCATTTTGTGGCGCATTTCGGAGCTAATTTCTGCCATTGGCTTTTGGCCCCCTTGCCAATGCAGCTTTGCCACGCATTCGGATGGTGGCGCCGAGACAGGTTGCGGCATAGGCTACAGGGCTTGGGCTTGCAGCAGCAAACTACATCATTTCATGCAGTAACATGGCACACGAACATGTGACGGGATCCTGGCCTTGCCTGGCCTTGTGCATGAGGTCGGGGGCCGTATTGTGGGTTTGTTCTTCACATCCCAGTCCCCAGAGTTCCGACAATAACTCAGGTCGGCGATTGCAGCAACTTATTGCGTCTCATCAAAAACAACATACTCACAAGAAGACAAAAAAAAAAAAAAAAGACCCCATGAGTAGCGCAAGTCACCCCTGTCCACTGTGGCGGAAAACTGCGGTCAAACACCACCAAACATGGCAAGGCACCAAAACATCGATCCACTGACACTGACACTATGACAAAACAGCAATAACCACCCGTCACGCTCCGGGGTTCCGTTAGAGGGGCGAAACGTCACCGGCCGAGAAAGATTGAAAAACCTCGTCCTCCTCTTCATCATCGCTTGGTTTCTGGAGGGTTTTTGGCAGACTCGTTGCGGCAGCGGCTTTCCCGGCAGACGAACTCTTCGATCCTTCATCGAGAGACTAGCTAGACCAGAAAAAGCTTCGCTTTTACTTTGCCATTGTGGATTCGGTCTCGGCACTTGTTGGCTTCTCAAATAGTCGATCTCGGGGAGAGTTACCAAGTTCCGATTCAACTTTGGCACCTTGTCCGTTTCGGGCACGCAAACAAACGGGACTGCGCCGTCAGCACCAGCAGTGTCCGTCCCGTCTTCTTTGCGCACAGCAAACAGAGTGCGACGCGATTGCAGACCCCGAGCTTCACTGCTATATATTCTGCGAATTCTACAGTCGGTCGACATTGGCCGGTTCGGACTCCAACATGTCGCGCGACACCAGGACCAACGACACAAAGTCGCAGGAGAGCAACCAGCCCATCGACACAAAGTCGCAGGAGAGCAACCAGCCCATCGACGAGGAGTTGGCCGACTCGAGACGAACTAGCATGTCGTCTCTGCCCGCCACCTTCCAAAAGATTCTTCGCTATGGAAGGGTGGAAGCTCGCGGCATCGAGCCCATCCCCATCGAGGAGCGCACGTCGACCCGGTACTACAACATTGCCACCATCTGGACCTCGGTCAACACAAACATTATCGGCATCACCTTTGGCATGCTCGGACCCTTGGCCTACAGTCTCAGTCTCCGGGACTCGGCGCTCGTCATTCTCTTCTTCAACATCCTGTCCTGCATCATCCCCGGATACCTGTCCACTTTGGGTCCGAAAACGGGCCTCCGACAGATGATTCAAGCGCGGTATTCCTTTGGCCGCTATTTCGTCTCGATACCGGTCCTTCTCAATCTGGCGACCATGGCTGGCTTCACAGTCATCATCTTCATCACAGGTGGACAGTGCTTGGCCGCTGTATCCAATGGAACGATATCCCCAAACGCTGGTATTGTCATCATCGGCATCATATCATTGGTTGTATCCTTCTGTGGCTTCAAAGTCTTGCACATCTACGAGACGTATGCTTTCGTCGTTGCATTCATCGCAATCACCATCACCGCTGGATGTGGTGGAGCTGGTCTCGCGAAACAAAGTCCCCCGCCCACGCCGGCGACTGCTACCGGTGTGCTCAGCTTTGGCATGATCGTGGCTAGCTATCAGATCCCTTACGCAGGGTTGGTGAGCGACATGTCAGCCTACTTCAACCCCAAAGTTTCAACGTAAGTAAACTGAGAAGGTCAATAGTTCAGAGTCTTTGACTAACAAACCATTAGATGGCGAGTGTTCTGGTATACCTACCTGGGTCTTACGACGCCTACGATTCTCCTCATGACACTCGGTGCAGCCATTGCTGGGGCCATCCCCAACAACCCAGCTTGGCAAGAGCAATACGACAAGTACCTCGTCGGTGGCGCTCTGTCCGGCATGCTTGCCCCTGCTGGCGGCTTTGGCAAATTTGTTCTCGTCATTCTTGCGCTCACCCTTCTCGGCAACACGTGTGGAACCTTTTACAGCATCACGCTCAACTTCCAGACTCTGCTTCCGTGGCTCTTCCACATACCGCGTTATGTCTTTGCCCTGCTCATCACCATCATCATCGTGGTGGTCTCCATCTTCGCCGTCGACAACTTCTTTGTAAGCATAGAGAATGTTGTTGCGCTCATTGGCTACTGGTCTTCGCAGTTTTGCGCCATTGTCATTGTCGAAGACATTGTCTTCCGCCGCCGCAAACCGGAGGCCTACGACCATGCCGCCTGGTGTGACGCGAAGCGGCTGCCACTTGGAATCGCGGCCATGAGCGCGGGGCTGTTGGCCTGGGGTCTGATTGTGCCAGCCATGAATCAGGTGTATTTCACAGGGCCGATTGCCAAACACACTGGTGATATTGGATTTGAGCTTGCCTTTGTCTGCAGTGGTCTGTTGTACCTCCCTCTGCGATATGCCGAAAAGCGACTGTCTGGTAGATGATGATGACTACCTACCGTGCAGCATGAGAAGCAATCAAGCTACTTTTGTATATATTCGAGAGAATACGAGGTGACTACGCCCGGCGTGGCGAGTTGAAGCGAATTTATTTTCACGTGCAGCATATCTAGCGTAAATTAGGAGTCACGTTGACAAGAGGAGGAATGCATTGATGATGGCTGAGTTTTGGGTTCCTGAAGCCTTGTTCGTATTTAGTAATGGCTTGCAAGACTACAGTACAGGTAGGTAATAAAGTTTGTTCCAAGCCCGAAATCCAGAAGCTCGAGAATTTTGCCGCTGAACCAGACACGTTGGGGATGATCTTGATTTGTGGAGGGCCGTCATAACAAGCGTGAAGATGCGGGACTGTTCAACATGTAAATTCATAAACCTTGTACTTATAATTTAGGCAGTCACTAGGGTGACAAAAAGAAACCAGCCCTCATTACCATCTTCCCTTGTGTTTTCTTGGCTTTTACCCTCCTCTGAGTCTCTTTATCGTTTATGCTTCTTAGTTTTACTAATTACTGTCTAATAGGGTATACGGCGGGTTTTTCGTCACCCGCATAGCAGTCTCTCCAGAGACAGAAAATCAATCACCAATGCAACAGGATCGATTTCTCCGGGGTATACTTGGCTTTGTGATACACATGATCCAAGCTGATTGGTGCCACTTGCACGTTACTCCGACTGCATGCACATTCGGTGACTCAGTACACCGGATTACAAACCACACACCGCGCCCTACAGCCTCGTCTTGCACCTGTTCAGCTTGGTTCTTGGCTTCGGAACCCCGCGTCGTGTCCGAGGTATTGATCGCAGGGTACAACCCTGTCAGAAAATTCACATTCTGACTTTACAAGATGGCCAAGAGCCAAGTCAGATTCCGTTTCCCAGCTTGTTACTTGAATCACCGAAACAGCCTTTTTTTCCTCGCGTTGACAATGACAACTTCAGACTTGTACTAGGCGCACGCCTTCCATCAACCCCCGACTTCGCCGGGCCAGACCCGCTTCTCCATCCATGTCCATGCGTTCTCCAGACTGACTGGAGTTCTGGAGTTGCCGAATGGGAGTGGCCGTCGTCGTTCTCGCATCATCTTCTTCGCTCAACCATCGCTTGTCCTCAACTACAGTCTCTGCACATCAGCCAAGTTGCAACCGGCTGGCATAGTCATACTCGGAATCCTATTCTATCCAGCTTCGGACAAACTCGCACGGATTTGCAATTTGTGCTGTCAACACTATATCCGAATCATTTCGTCAATTGTGTGTAATCGGGCAACCCCGGCCGTGGTTCAAATCATCAAGCCATGTCTATCCTCGAGTTCATGGGCCAGGGTTATACTCCCGCCGGCATGGACCCAACAGGTATGCGCAAAACACCATTGCCTCTCCTTTTCTCTCAACTAACTCTTATGCGCAGAATTCTTCGTCAATGGCGATGAACCATATGTCCTCGCCTCAGACTACACCATCATTCCCCAGCCGCCACAGCACCTCGTCGTTCCCCAACTCGCCGGCACCATAGAAGGCGCCGCCGATCTGCTGACCCTCCCCTCTTCCGGGACCGTCCTGCCCGAAGAGCTCTCCTCCCATCCCACGCCCGCCGCCTACAAGCCGCACGGCTCGCCCGCCAGCAGCACCAGCGGCTCCTCGCGCAAGCGCGGCCGGCTGCCCTCGCCGCCCGAGCAGGACCCCGGCGAGGAGGACCCCGAGACGGCCATCAAGCGCCAACGCAACACCATGGCCGCGAGAAAGTACCGCCAAAAGCGCCTGGATCGCATCTCGGACCTGGAGCGCTCGCTGGGCGACATGACGGACCAGAGGGATGCGCTCAAACTACAGCTCGCGCGCAAAGAAGCAGAAGTGGACGCGCTGAGAGAAATGCTCGTGCGCAAGTAACAAGGTGATTATCTTATACGGCATATTCTGGTGATTTATTGCTTAATTCGGGCTTGTATATATTTTCCAAAATTCCTTGGGCGAGCCGCTTTCTTCGGCGCAGGCTACAGCGAATGACTCTACGACGTTTTTTTTCTTTCTCTGTACTGGAACGGCATAGTTTTTTTTTCCGTTTCCAATTCGAGTTTCAATTGATGGGAATTTTCGAGGACTTCGGGCGTTGGAGATGGGGTACTGGAGTGTTTCGCGGCAGCTTTATAAGTGCTCACGAGCAGAGCCCTATTGCTACAACATCTTGTCAAAAATAATGAAAGAGGGACGACTCAAAGTATTGATATAGATGAATTTCTCGTCGACTCATTGAAACTCATTTTCTATCTCAGCATCGCAAAAGCTATACAGATGCTACATGTCACTCCTACACGGCCAAGGATGTGGGTGTGGTGTGGTGTGCATAAATGGCTCATCATGAGTCGAAATGACTCATAGTGAGTCTAGTCCGCGTTATACTGCACACCCTGTTGGCGGGAGTGCTTCTACAAAACGACATGCTCACGTAATAAGTTCTGTAAAACTAAAAATACGGAGATACACCTTTACAGTCGATTATTAGCTCCGGTTCAGCAAAAGTGAAAATAGGCTACTATACTACCTTATATTATAAGTTATTAACTTTTAACTACTCTTTATATATTTCCTATCTTTATTCTAGCTATAAGATTACTATATCTATATTTAGTTTAATACTAAGTAGGTTAGTATTATTTATAAACCTAACTATTATTAAGCACCTTTATAGTATAGTAGTTCTATATTAAGAAGTACTATATAGGTTAGTATATAGGCGCTAGTTTAAATCTAGCTAGAAGTACCTTTATTAGGATTACTATTCTAAGTAGGTAATAAATAAAAGATTATAAATATAAGTACTTATAAAGGTATTTTATAAAAACTAGTATATAATATAATAATTCTTAATTAACTAACTAAAATAAACTATAAAAAGAAAAGGCTATAGTTAAATATATAATTAAGTAGTACCTTAAGTATTATTAGGAAATTATAAAAATAAAGAAATAAATAGTAATTATATATATTAATAATTAATAATCTATAAGTAATTACTTTACTTACCTATAAAAAGCTATAGTGTTTTTATAATAGTCTAGTTTTATTAATATTTAATTACTTATTATAATAGTCTTTATAATACTTTATATTAAGATTATAAGTATTAAGACTTTTTTATATACTATTATATAGTATAATTACTATATATATATACTATATAATATAATTAGCTACTATATATAACTATATATAATATAATTCTATTTACTATATACCTCTATATATAGTATATCTTACTAAATATCTACTATACTTAGCTAACTATATTTACTATAGTGCTTATTAGCATAATAACCTTTTCCCTTCTTTATGTTTTTTCCTTTCTCTTCTTTCCCCTAAAAATTAAATATAGTAATTTAGGCTTATAAGCAACTTATAAGGGGGGGGTAGGATTAGGGTAAAGTAAAAAAAGTAGGTTAGGGTAACTATAAGAGGGTATAGGGCTTATTAGGAAGCATAATATAACAATAGCTTAGAACCTAATTTATAGTTGCTTATTTCTTAGAAAGTAAGTTAGGTTAAAAGGCTATAGAGTAGCCTAGAGTAGTATTATAAATAAGGTCTTATTAAGAGTTATTTCTTAATAGTAAACTATTACTTAGATTAATTAATAAAGATCTAAACTACCTAGCTATAGAAATACCTTCTTTTTAAGTACCTATCTACCTCTCTATTATATATTAGATTATTAAGCTTATCTAACTACCTAAATAAGCTAGTATAGTTAAATTATCTTAATAATTTAATAAGCTATTATATAACCTTATAGTATAGCTAGATTATCCTAAATCTAATAAGCTATTATATAACCTTATATTCTATTTAGGCTGCGGGCATAGCTTCCCCCTAGCAGCCTAGCTTAGCTCCTCCTATGCCCGTCCAGTAACGTTCGTAATACTAGCAGCCTGGCTTAGCTCCTCCTACGCCCGTCTAGTAATATTCGTAACACATAACTAACTACTATACTACCTAGCTATTAAGGGTATTAATATTAAATATATATAAATACTATAGTAGGGGTATTAATAAGGGAAAGAAATAGGAGTAAAAGTATATTAATTTCTATATATACTAGATATAATAATATTATTAAAAAGTAAAAAAGGTTTTTCCTCTTAACTAGCTAGGTTTTTTCTACTTTTTATAAAGAAGTTAGGCTTAAGCCTACTTTAGCTAGACTTAGCCTAAAGCTACTATAAGTATACCCCTAGTATACTTTCTTTATATACTATAGTAAATAGATAGACTAGCTTTCTTTCTTTTTTACTTTATAAGAAAGTTAATATTATTATAATATCTATTTATAAATATTTTAAAGCTAGTCTTTAATAATTAACTCTCTTTTTTATTAATACCTTTCTTACCTAGTTTATTATAACTAATAAGATAAAAAGTAATAATAATAAAATTATAACTTAAATAATAGCTATTAATAATTAAAATATACTAAGTACTTTTAGTCTAAATTATAGTTTTAATAGAATAGAATATAGTTTTAAAAGAAAAGCTATAATAAATTTTAATATTTAAAATATTATTAATTAAAATCCTTTAAGCTAGATTATAATAATAAAAGCTATTTTTTTACTAGCTAATATATTTATAGTTTAATAAAAGCCTTTATTTATAAAAAAGAAGTTTAATAATAATATAAAAGTATTTATTAATAATAGATAGCTCTAAAGCTAAAAGAATAATCTCCTATTACCTAGTATATCTAGTACTTACCTATACTATATAACTAGATAGAAGTTATATAATATAATAACTTTACTTCTTACCCTATATATACCCTATTAGTTATAATAGGTTATAAGCCTAATAGTACTTATATTATAAAAGCTATTAATAAAATAAAAGAAAGTATTAATTTCTTATTAAATTTACCTATTATCTATATAAGCTAATATTTACTATAAAACTTAAGAAATTTATAACTCTTTATATATAGAAAAAGGAAAGACCCTAAACTCTAGCTAATCTAGAATATATCTAATAAGTCTATTTATTATAAAAATTCTATATAAAGAAAAAGAAATTCTATTATTATACTTTATCTAGTAATTTATATATAGATTTTATATATTTATTTTATATATATTATAATATAAATTTACTTAATATAGTTATAGCCTTTAAATAAATATACTTATTAAATTACTTATTATAATCTATAGTCTTAAATATACTTATTAAATTACTTATTATAATCTATAGTTTTAATTATTATAAAAGGTATATAATAACTATTTACTTAATAAGAAGAATTTCTTATTATTTATTTAAATACTTTTTACCTTTAAATAAATATAAAATACTTAGTTTAAAAAAAAAGACTATATACTTAATTTATTATCCTCTTTATTATCTTAAAGTTCTACTCCTTTAATAAGTAATACTATTAGTAACTTAATTCTTATATATAAATTAAGATTTTCTTATAGCCTTATTATTTACTTTATTATTTAATATTATATCTTTAATATTAAAGAAAGTACTAAATATCTTAAAGCTTAAATCTAAAAGTAACTAGGTTAAATAAAAGCTAAAAATAATTAATATATTAAAACTTAGTAATCTTAGTAAATTACTATTAAAAGGCTAAAAAAATAGCTTTATCTTAATTAAGGCTTATAGTAATAAGACTATAAAGAATCTTATTTAAGAATAAATATAAGACTAAGTCTATATTATTACTTTTATTAATATAAGCCTTAAAGAATATATTTATAGCCTTATTAAAGATAAGGTTATAATATTAAATATAATTATAGCTTTAAAAAAGTACTTTAAACTAAAAGGTATTATTATTTTCTAAACTATAACTAACTATCTTCTAATATTAACCTTTATTTAATATAAATCTATTAAAAAACTTACTATAATACTTATTAATATTTAAGCTAAATAGTAATTTCTTAATAAAGACTTTAAAGTCTTTAAAGCTTTAATAATATACTTTTTTATTAATAGTCTTAATAAAGAATTTAACTTTTATACTACTAAAATAGCCTTTTATCTTATTCTAAAGTAAACTAATAATACTATTATAGCTTTTATAACTATATTTATATAGGTAGTTATAATTATAGTTAACCTTATTAAGCTTAAATAATAAAATAATAAAAAGTCTAAGTAATAAATTACTTTAATTATTATAATAGCTATTAAAAAGTATTCTTTTTATAGTATAATAAAACCTAATACTATTAAGTACTTTTATTCTTTTTATAAGTTTTTAGGTTACTTTAATAAGTAATACTAAAAGTTATACTTTAAACTCTATTTAGTAAATCTACTCTTTTTATTTTAATAAAATAGAAAATATTAATACCTAATTAAAAAATATAATAGTAAATATAAGTATAAAAAGGTTAATTTTAAATAATATATAAGTCTTTTTATAGACTTTAAGCTAACCTAACTTACTTTTATTATTTTTTAAAGTCTATAATACTTTAGTTAATTTAAAGTAAATAGTATTTTTATAGGTATTAAACCTAAATAAGATTTTAGTTTTTTTATAATATTATATTAGAAACTAATACTATTTAACTTTAGTATATCTAGCTATATTTTAAGCTATAAAAAACTTATAAAAGACTTATTTTTTTACTTAGGCTTTAATATTTAAGGTCTTATTAGTATTATCTTAAAATCTACTACTTATAGAATAGCTATTATTATTATAAAAAGCCTTAAGACTACCTTAAAATTATATAATAGTATTTTATAAAAAGGTACCTTAATAAGCCTACTCTTTATTAGCTACCTAGTAGTAAAGAATACTATAGTAGTCTTTAATAAAAAAAGAGTAATTATAATAAAAGATTAAAAGGTTATTTTTACTACTTAATAAACTATTAAAG